AGCAACAACATTTTGTCAGCAACAGCTTTTTTTACCTTGATTAAAGATTTTTCTTGATATCTTTACAAATTATATTTGCTTCTTTAAATTTAACTTTGATTTCTGCTCATATTCTTTTACGCTCTGATTTTGCCCAAAATTCAATATTAGAAGTTGCTGATTTTGGTTGAGATCTAACTGTTAATTAATAGCACTCATGACTTTGCGCTCTTTCCTATCGGCCACAATCAAAATGCTTGAAATTAAAAATGGGGGAAACTGTTTATAAGAATAAGCAAATTCTGCTGCCCCTTTGCAACGCCCCCTCCGCAAATGCGCTTCGCTTGTTGTGGTTGCTCGTGGCAACATTTTAATCAGGTCGATAGCTCGAGTTGTGTTTCAAAGATACACACACACACACACACACACACGTACACACACGTCCAGAGCAAAAGCAGACGCTATCTTATCATTGGGGCGCAGAAACTGGCAGCGACTTGCGCCAGTTGTGCGCAAATTCGCTCAGTGTATTGACACGCAGTGGCGCAGTTGCTGTATAAATAAAAATAATAATTATAATCTATTTGTTGATATGAAATGAATATAATTTAAATTGAAATCGTTTGTTTCTTCTTGCACGCTTCTCACCTCTGCAGCTACGAGCTATCGCAGGATCTGCTGGACAAACAGATCGAGCTGCTGGAACGCAAGTACGGCGGCGTACGGGCACGCAATGCGGCAGTTACCATACAGCGCGCCTTCCGACACTACATGATGGTCAAGAAGTTCGCCTCCATTACGGCCATGGCCAAGGCGGAGAAGCGTCTCAGCCGGCGCATGGTGGTGACCGCCTCGAGCCTGACCCTGGCCGAGGAGAGCGCCTCGGCGAATGCATCCCTATCGTCTGCCTATGGCAGCGCCACAGAATCTCAGCTGGAGCAACTGCAGCATCAGCAACAACAGCAACAACAACAACAACAACAGCAGCAACAGCAGCAGGCGGCACAGCAACAGCCACGTGTGACAATTATGGCAGGTCCGCCAGGCGCCGGTTCGCCGGGTCTCTCGCGGACTCCGCCAACACGTTCGCTGTCGATGCGCGAGCGTCGCCAGCTGGACTGCAGTCCCATACCGCGTAGTCAGTCGGGTAAGTGTTTGCTCTGAACCGAATCGGCCTCGATTCTGAGTTGAGTTGAGATTTGAGCCAAAAAAAAAAACAAATGTCAATTTGAATCTAGCTTTTAAGCCTGAAGACAGTCGCTAACAATTTGTGTCCGCTTTGCCCCACAGGCGCCTCACCCGTCTCCATTGCCAGCTCCACAACCTCCGTATCCGGCCTGGCCTCGCATCCACACGTGAATCTGCTGCACGCCGCGGAGCCGCATTATTATAATGCCCAGGCGATGCCCACGGCAGCCGCCTATTACACCAGCTACCACGGCTCGCCGCACGATCTGAGCTATGCCAGCTCGGCGGACACCTCGCTGAACGCCTCGTGGGTGAACACCAGCGGCCACTCGCCGCACACGCCCTACTACTCGGCGGCGCAGATCTATATGCGGCCCAAGGGCGGCAGCACCACGCCCACGCCCAGCTGCGGCAGCCAGGGCAGCGGCAGTGGCAAGAAGGTGCCGCCGGAGGTGCCCAAGCGCACCTCCTCGATCACCGCACAGCAGCAAAGCCAACTGCTGATGATGCAACGCCAGACACCGCCGCCGCCCTCGCTGCTGCGCACCAACGGGCTCTGCAAGACGGCCGAGAACGGCAGCCTGACATCCGTGCAGAGCTCCGGCTCAGATTCAAGCGTCACGTCGGCGGAGCGGAACATTAACAGCGACTTGGGCTCGGATCGCAGCAACTCGCCGCACACATGGAAGCGCGGCACAGCGCTCAACAGCTCACAACAGTTCTCGACACATTCGGCGGACTCCGCCGGCGCCGTTGGCCAAATCCAGGTGGCGGTGGCTGCGGCGACAGCAGCTGGCGGCGTGCCGCCCACAGATGATCATGCCATCTCCTCGCACACCAGTGCCGCCCAGTATGAGCAGCACGAGCAGCAACAGCACGAACAGCAGCAGCTGCAGGCGGCGGCCAGCGCGGCGGGCGTTGCCCAGAACTACAAGATGTCGGAGACGATACGCAAGCGACAGTATCGAGTCGGGCTCAATCTGTTCAACAAGAAGCCAGAGAAGGGCATTACGTATTTGATCAGGCGCGGCTTTCTTGAGAACACGCCGCAGGGCGTGGCACGTTTCCTGATCACGCGCAAGGGCCTCTCCCGGCAGATGATCGGCGAGTATTTGGGCAATCTCCAGAATCAGTTCAATATGGCGGTGCTCAGCTGCTTTGCCATGGAACTGGATCTGTCCGGCCGGCAGGTGGACGTGGCGTTGCGCAAATTCCAGGCCTACTTCCGCATGCCCGGCGAGGCGCAAAAGATCGAGCGACTCATGGAGATCTTCTCGCAGCGCTACTGCGAGTGCAATGCGGACATTGTGGGGCGACTGAGGTCATCCGATACGGTAAGCCAGACGAAACTAAATGCAATCCCTGAGTATTTTACTTAACCCAATCTCTCTCTCTCTCTTGCAGATCTTTGTGCTGGCCTTTGCCATCATTATGTTGAACACGGATCTGCATACGCCCAATCTGAAGCCGGAGCGGCGCATGCGCGTCGAGGACTTTATCAAGAATTTGCGGGGCATCGATGATTGCCACGACATTGACAAGGATATGCTGAGCGGCATTTTTGAGCGCGTCAAGTCCGATGAGTTCAAGCCGGGCAGCGACCATGTCACCCAGGTGATGAAGGTCCAGGCCACCATAGTGGGCAAGAAACCGAATCTGGCGCTGCCGCATCGGCGGCTGGTCTGCTATTGTCGCCTGTACGAGATACCCGATGTGAACAAGAAGGAACGCCCTGGCGTCCATCAGCGCGAGGTGTTCCTGTTCAACGATCTGCTGGTCATTACAAAGATCTTTAGCAAGAAAAAGACCTCTGTGACGTACACGTTCCGCAACAGTTTCCCGCTCTGCGGCGCCGTTGTCAGCCTACTGGACTTGCCCAACTATCCGTTCTGCATTCAGCTATCCCAGAAGGTCGACGGCAAAATCCTGATCACCTTCAATGCACGCAACGAGCACGACCGCTGCAAGTTTGCCGAGGACCTCAAGGAGTCCATCAGCGAAATGGATGAGATGGAATCGCTGCGCATCGAGGCTGAACTCGAGCGCCAGAAGTCGGCACGCAATCGTGCCCCCGGCAATGCTGACAATCGCGACAGCGGCGTCGCCGATGTCGAGGTCTGTCCCTGTCCCTATCAGCCGGGCACCCAAGCTGCCGGCGAACAAGCACCCAACTCGTCGGACTCCACGCAGCTGAAGCGCAGTGCGCTCAGCAACAGTCTGTTGGACATGCACGAACAATGTAAGATTTGATTGTGAAATAGCTGTCAAGTTAACTTGTTGCTTAGCTGGCATTTTCTCTCCTCTCTTTTCACAGTTGGCAATGAGAAACCGCAACGACGTGGCAGCGTCGGCTCCCTGGACAGCGGCATGAGCATCTCGTTTCAGTCGACAACCACGTCGAGTGCGTCGCGGGAAAACGCGGCTGCCATTGCAGCTGCCGCCAATGCGGCTAATGCGGCATCCAAGATCAGATTCAATCTGCAGGCCACCACCAGCAATGTGTATGCGGCGCCCGGTATGCAGGCCTACACGCACGCCAACTTTGTGCAGCAGTCGCAGGCGGCTTATTTACTGCAGCAACAACAAATGCTGCAGCAGCAGCAGGTAGCGCAGGCACAAATGCAGGCACACGCCCAGGCGCAGGCCCAGGCACAAGCCCAGGCTCAGGCACAAGCACAGGCTCAAGCCCAATCGGGAGCTGTGGTCATGGGACGCATACCAGGACGTGAACGCAAGGCATCGCGATCTGATGACTCGCGCTCCACCGAGGTCTAAATATGGCGCAATATATGTACACATTCAGTTCTTCACCAAGCGATAAATATATAATACGCATCCTACACACATCTATATAGCATACGAGTAGCTTGATCTTTGTATGATCCGAATCGAAACGAACCGAACCGAAAGCCATTTTTTTTTTGTAATCAACACCTAACACACTCAGCAGCAACAATTTGAATTCTTAAATGTTCCTTCGTTCTCTGCTAATATTAATGTACATAAATTACATTTTTGTCTATTAACGCGATTGAAATACGGTTTAAGTAAGTTTTCAAAAAACTAATTGTACATATACTACAACATTTATCAACAATTTATATTTATCTATAACTAATTATCTATTCAAATACCCTCTATGATCGCCGCATACTCGTATAACTCGGACAGCGGCCAGTTAGCATAAACCAATTTTTGAAACACCTTTTCAGCAGCTAGTTGTTTTCTTTTGTATCTAATCCCTCCCGTTCTATCAAGTACATATATTTACATTTAAATGTAGTTCTATTACAAAAACCAATTCACAATAAGTGCGCGCTTTGTATATTACGTTTTCTAATCCCACAATTATGTTTGTGTAACTAAAAACGATCGTATATACCGCGTGTGTGTGTATATACCATGAATATTAACTTAAAAGCAATTAGCTATAATTATTCATATTTATAGAACCAAAACTACCCAAAACCTAAAATATTAAATAATAATAAAACGCAAAGTGTACGGAAAACAAACACCCGATATATATACTTATATATATATATATCTATATAAAACAAAAGACTTAAAAATTAAATAAATGAAAAGAAATAATACCAAATAATTAGCACATTCCTTTAGAATCGAATTTTTAGGATGACAATCGAATGTCCTGATTGTTACTTCAAATGGCCATAACTCGGGTATTTGAAGTCCGATCGCGGCAAGATTGGCCGCTTTGTAATCGTGGAGGTCCTTAGAATCGTTTTGAATTTTTAATTAATTTTATTTTAGTGTGGGATTCCTGACTTAACAGTATGCCTAGAAGCTGCAATGAATAATAACACTTCATATAAATTTGTATACTTCATATTTATTAGTGATTTCAACTTATTTATATTATTGCTGACTCTACTAATTAAGGCCTTGTACAAAATTATTGTATTTCCGTTGTAGGTGCTAAATTCTATATTCGTAGTTAATTACTTATGTGTGTCATTGCGTGTGTGTGTCATTGCGTGTGTGTGTCGAGTGTGTGTGTGTATGGGTACCGTATGCATATAGGTTTGCATTATCATCATCATGTTAGTCTAAACGTCTATTGCTTTAAACAAATATACAAAAACTAAGAGTTAAAGGGAGGGACTTAAGCAGAGGTACGAATAACTTTACAATCAAGTTGTGGGGGCTGTTCTCTTCTTACAATAAATTGCACTTGCAAATTCTTTCAGATGCATTCGGGTGATTCACGAGTGTTTTTGGGTGCTCTTGTTGTTGTTGTTGTTGTTGTTGTTGGGTTACAAAATATAAACATTAAAATTAAACTAAACATATTTTGGCACTGTAAATAAAAAAAACTGCTTTCGACATGTAAGAAAATTCGTAAAACGCATACAAAAATTAAAATTAGAATCAATTTGTTGCTACAATATGGAAACGGAAACGGAATCGTTTAAATAACCAATATTCGATATTCGATAATAAATTACAGAATTGTAATCGAATTATGCTTGATGCTGCTCGTCTAAGGTTTCGTTTGATTATGCTAAGATAAAGCGGCTTCCCGGACCAACAGAGCTGCTCTGTTGGCTGGAGGCGCCTCCACTACTCTCTAGAGAGACTCTGGAACTAGACCATGCCAAAGTCCGTGCACACGGAGGGGGCTGTTGTTGCCGTTGCCGCCGCCTGGTTATTCTGTTGCTTCTCCTGGGCACTGCTCACCGCCACTGCAGCCGCCGCCGCTGCAGCCATGTTCAGCTCCACCAGCGTATCGATGCTGTTGAGGCTAACGCCTTGGAGTATCTTGCGCGCCGCTAGCGACGTAAAGTTGAAGGATAGATCCGTGAGGCTGGGAAAATTATAGAGTTCCTCACCGCCGGCGGTTAAAACGCTGCCCATGCCATGCTGCTCCAGGGACTCCTTGGTCAGACTGAGACGCCTATCCATGGCCTCCTTGTCAATGGACTTGTCGTTCGCATGATCCTTCAGCGCCAGATTGGGCTCACTGCCCAGCGGATTGCTGGACTTGTGCAGCAGATGCGCCAGCGCCAGCTCATCCCCATTCATGTGGCACTTTTGCAGCTGGCACACAGACTCATAGCAGAGATTCTTCAGATCACTGCTGCTGTTCATCAGCTTGTGATTGCTCTGCGCTGGCGCCAAATCCTTCGAGTGCTTCTCATAGAAATGCAAATTGCCAACCGAGCCGGCTATCTCAAAGTCCTGTTTGGCCAGGGCAGCTAATTTCAGTGGATGCTGCTGCTGCTCAGCACATGGCGAATTCGGCTGGGATTCATTTTTGAGCACATTGTTCTTGTAGGCAATGCCATTGGCCAGCTGCAGGCACAGCTTGCGGCTGTTGTTCATGGTGGCATCGTTGTTGGTGTTCTTGGCATACTTGCCGCCATCATAGGATGGCGTCTCAGTCGCCGTATTCTCCGGCGAGCTCTCGCTGATGAATGAAATGGAATCGCAGGTCTCCGAGTTGGCCTCCGTTTCGCTCAGCGGCTGCTCGGGCACCGATTCGGGCCTAACTGGCGTCGATGAAGCCACTGGCATGCCAGTGGCAGCTGTTCCAGCTGTTGCTGTTGTTGTCTGCTTGGACAGCGTCTTCTTGATGATCTCGCCCTTCTCATTCGTCATGGTCTCATTGTTAATGATGAACACATTCGAGTTCTCCAGCATTTTGCCATTCTCCAGGGTGATAACACTTCGCACCGGCGAGTTCTGCACAAAGATTTTGGTGCTGGGTATGCTCTGGCCACCGCCACTAGAGCTGGTGGTCACCTGCAGTGTTATCGAATTGTTGCTGCTCGAATTGGGTACACCATTGGCGCTGCCATTTGTGGGATACGTGAGCTCCTCGAGTATGCGATTGGGTGTGCTGGCGCGTTGCCTCTGCGCCTGCGCCTCTGCCACACGCGCTCGCATCGCCTGATGACGCGGCGTACCACGTGGCGAGCCATTCAGCAGCAGTATGGAACGCGTGCTGCCATTTGTTGTTGTTGTTGTTGTATTTGGAGCTACCACAGCTGTGTTTGTGGAGCACTGGGAGTCCAGACTAGAGTGGCCGCTGGTCTTCTGGCTAAAGGAAACTTTGCCGCTGTCAATGCTGGATGGGCCGCTGGCCAGCATCGATGTCCTGCAGGACTCCAGGCTGGAGGGTCCGCTGCTCTGCAGACTGCGATACGTGCTCTTGTTATCGGTCGAGCAGCCGTTTATGATCAGCCCGTCTATCTGACGCTTGCCCGACGTGGCGGACTTCAGCGTTGAGGAGCGCGCTGGCGAGCTCTCGAAGATGTGCTTGCCAATTACCGACTTTTGCGCTGTTTTCTGCGCCATGGGCGTTGGCGTGTGCGTGTGCGTAGGCGTAGGCGTGGCCGCCTGAAGGCGCGACAATGTCGCCGATGAGTGATTTATTTTGGTGTGATTCACGGCGCTGCCGCTGCTGGCCGGTATCGACTGCGTGGAGCGAGGTAGCGAGCTGCTGCAGTAGACGGGCGACCGGCGGCGTATCGGCGAGCAGTCCCTGGAGGATATCAGGAACGTTGACTCGCTGGACATGTGGCGGCGATGGCGGCGTGGCAGCGTCGACGAACGCTGGCTCAGCTCGGAGCCATCGTAGAACGTCGAATTGGACAGCGTGTGAACAGCGGGCATATCCTGCAGAGCAGAGCAGAGCAGAAATTATACAATAAAGAAGCATACGCTTTGGATCTTAGAACTCACGTGATCTGCGGTCTGGGTGCCCACGCTGTGCAGATGCACGGCGCGTGTGTTGAACCATTCGGCGGGCGGAAACTGAGCCGAGTAGGTCTCAATTTGGCGCTGCTTGGCGCGTCCGCTGCGTCGGAACAGCCGTGAGAGCAAAGATCCTTTTTCTATTACGAAGTAAAATAGAGATTGAGAGTCATGGAATATTAATTTGCTGCTGCTGCTGCTTCAATACTTACTGGGTGATGACGAATCTGTGCTTTGGTATTCCGAGCTGCTGCTGTCCGTCGTGTTAAGCGTCTGGGCATAGGTCTTGGACAGGCTGCGGGTCGAGGCGCAGCGTTGCAGGCGCTTCGACGAACCAAAGAGCCGCAAACTGTGCCGTCGTTCCAAGCTGCGCGGCGTCGGAAATGAGGCACTGCGTCGCTTGGCCGCACGCGGATAAATGATCTTGTCATTGGGATTGCCTGCGCATAAAAAGAGGAAAGTATTCTTGAGTATTTTGGGCCTTCGACAAAGTTCGGTCTCGCTTTGTGGCAAAGTCTTTTTGCTGGTCATCTCCCTATTTAAAGCTTACCTCCACAGATGACATCCGCCAGATTGGTCTGTATGCACTGATGCGTCAGATCACCATCCCGTTCCGTGGATATTTCGCCATAGAGCGAATGCAGCGCCTCGGCATTCGACATGAGCATTGTGCGCGCCTCCGGCGGCACCACGTCCTGCTGTTGCTCCTCCTCGGTTAGCTGCGAGTACGCCAGGCTGCCGTTGGTGCTATGGCCGCCATTCAGCTGATGATGATTGCTGCGCGGACGCGACCGACTGCGACGACGTCTGAAAGAGATTTGGCAGAGAGTTAAGGCCATGTAGAAGCTATGAGAGATGCGTGTGGTGCTCACTCTGGCGTAAAGATGAAGTAACCCTTTGCGGTCTGGTAGATCTTCTGCTCCTGCATCAGCTGCGCCAACGAATCGTAGATGACCTCTGTGGCGGGCGTGGTCATGTGCGGAAATCGAACGCCAAGCTTGCTGCGCACATGCTCAATGGTCGCCGATTGACCCTCGGCGGTTAGATCCATGATAACATCGCACAGCGCCTCCGGCAGTGGGGTGAACTGCCCCTGAACCGTCGGCGTCACAATGCAATCGTCAATGTCACCTGCAAATAACAGACCAAGGAGATGGGGTTTAGCATTGCCAACAACTGAAAACCTGGACTACTTATAAGGCTAATGATAGGCCGGCCAACCAGCCCCATTTGGTCAGATAAACTTGCTCGCATTTGTTATAGATATTTTTTTTTGGTTTTTCTGCTCACAACTAAACAAGCAGCTCGGCATTTCGGTTGGCCACCCGGGCGGGCGACCAGCGAATGGTCGAAACCTTGACTCCAAATGGCATTTTGGCATTTGATGTTACAATCTGTCTCAATGCTGGGGTAATTAAACGGAGTGCCACACATGCTCCGACTAACTGAGGCTGAGTGGTGTGGCTAAGTGGTTTGCCCCACTTTTCACTTGGGTGATGCTGTTTTGACCATGAACCAGCACAGCTCTTGCTTTTGGTATTTGCCTTGCTTGCTCTCCTTTTATTAAGATTTTATGCATATTTCACTTGAATTTCTTATCGTTTACTTAATATTTATGCTTTACTTATGTTATCTAAAAATGTTTGCTTTTATTTCATTTATTTTATTATTATAGTTTCTTCATACAACATTTGTTTTATGTTTATTTTTAGTAGCAAAAAATTAATTTAACTAATAATTTTATGTCTGACCATTAAATTAATCCACCTTTTCACTCTCTCTCTCACTCTTTTCCTTTTTCTATCTCTTATCCCCTCTGTCATCCTTCACGATTAGTTACAGTGCAAATCTGATCGGATCTATCCAAATTTTTCATCACCATCAAAATCCTTTTATATTTTCTTCTCTTCTAACTTTTTATATATTTCTCTCTGTCTTTGTCTCTCCTTCTCTTTATATGTTCCTGGTTTCTTCTTTTATATCCTTCTGTTGTTCTTATCAGATATATTTTATATTCTTTTCATTATAAGAAATCCTTTTCTTTTTTTTCTTTCGCTCTCTCTCTCTCTCTCACTCTTTCGGCTTGCCGAATTCCCTCTCTCTCCACCTCGCAACCACCTAATCCTGTTATCTTCTCTTCTAAGTTTTCTCTATATTCCTCTCTATAATGTTTTAGTTCTCTCCTTCTTTGCTTTCTTATTTCATCTTTTATTTTTGTAAGTCCTCTCGGATCTATTCATAATGATGTTATTCCAAACGGATATTTCTTAAGATTCCCTTGTCTCTCTCCTCCTCTCTCTCGCTATCTCTCTCGCTCCCTATCTCTTCGTTATTCAACACGTAGTTATCGTTGTTTATTTCATTTATTTATCGATCACACCTCGTACTTATAAAATTATCATTTACCTTTCAGCTGATGGCTTGCCGCGCTCGACGACGGCTACGTCTCGGGGAGCGCCACCACCGACCTCAGTGCCAGCCACACAGGTTGCCACTTGTGGCAGTTGCAAGCATCGCCTAATATGGCATTCAGCAAATAATGTTTATACTATTTTATGTGCGGTGTTCACGCGTCGTATACTTAATTAAAATGCGCACCCAGCGAATAAAACAACAACAACAACAGCAACAAAAATAAAAATTGGACAACTCTGTTGCCGCATGTGCTTCAAATCTTGGCTGCCGCATTGTCGCCAACAATTTGTGGAGGCGCCGCCACAATGCTTCCTACTTGCCAGCTTAACCTCCAAAAAGCAGCAACAGCAGCAACAGCAGCAGCTGCAACAACGCCCCCGAAGCAAGCATCAAAATTGCAACACACACACGCCGAGAGAAAGAGGGAGAGGAAGAGAGAGAGGGAGCGAGAGAAGGGGGATTGCTTGTACTGCAAAATCAGACCAAGTGTGTGACGACCTCCGTTGTTGCTGTCGCCGAACTCTGTGTCTGTGTCTCAGCCTCGTGGCAACAACGTCCTTGCGGCCGTTGCATAATTTTTCAAGTTTTCACTTTCTGCTATTGCTGTTGCAGCTGCTGTTGTTGTTGCTGCTGTTGTTGTTGCTTATCCGGCAGCAATTTGGCGCTGCAAACGCAATATCAAAATGCCATGTGGGATGGCACCATCGTCAAGGACAATTAGCGCCATTTGATGGGCGACTGCGAAATGCGCACAAGCGACTCGTACAAAATACATTCCCCAGTCACAGCTACCACTCCTGCTCCACCCCCTCCCCATCCATTTACACTTGCAACTGCAGCAACACCTGCCACATTCGCACTTTCACATCGCACACGACAAAAATTTGTTTGCCGTTTAATCGTCCACTTGGTGGAACTGCAATTGGATAAATTGCACTCAATCTCAATCTGTGAATGCCAAGGCGCCACTCGGTTGCCTGCACCGCCCCATTGTTGCACCACCGATGCTGCTGCTGCCCCTGCCCCTGCTGCTGCTGCTGCTGCTGCTCGGCAATTTATTTGCCTTGACTTATCAGCTGGCACATTTGGTTTTGCCGCTCATTTGGCAACAACGCCCTGTCCATAAATTGCCCAGCGCAGTAGCCAAATTGGAGCTGCACACAAAATATACATCATATATCATATTTGATAAATCATGCCAAATACAAGTACTTGTGGGCCTGTTGTCTTGGCTGGCAGGCCAAACATATGACAGCTGTTCGTATTTTTTCCTTTATCTTTTTTTTGGAATAACAATATTAAAAGTTGGCAACGACAAGCAGGAGAATATTTTGGTGCCTTGACCTCTACAGCCGTCAAAACAGTATGTCTAATATTGCAGGCTGCCACTGTATGACAGCAGCTGTTCAAATAAATGTCCTACAAAATATCTGCATATAAGCTATAAAACTTGTAAAACTTGTAACTGGTGTAAAGCTAGGTGGAATATTAAAAAGCAAAGCCGGAAAGAACTGAACATGAAAGTTGAAATTGCTCTTCAAATTGCTTTTACACCACAGCGTTATTTACGACTGATTGTTCCTATAGTAGTCATATAATAAAGTAGTACGACTTGATGCGGCTGTGCAGAAATATTGGGCGAATAGCTATGATTTTAATTACCAAGTTTGGTCAAGATATCTTAAAAAGTAAAAAAGTTGTTTATACTAAAACTTAACTAGCGGCAGCTATAATGATATATGATATATGTTATATTGGTCCGAAGTTGATAGAATTCTGCTCAAATGTCAGCATATAAAGTACGTAAACATCACGTTTGATCAAAATAATTCGAAAAGCATACAACTGTTATATACTACAAGAACTTTATTTAGATGTCGTGGCTATAGTGGTTCAATCCGAACGACTTCCGACTTCCGAGAGACGGACGAACATGGTTATATCCACACGACTGTTAAATCTGATCTAGAATATATATCCAGTATATATTCTACAGGGTCAGAGAGGTTTTCAACTATGCGTTACACAGTTTTTGACAAAAGTTTACCTTCTGTCAGTGTATAAAAATATACAGGAATAGTTCTTAATCAAATTTTATTTACTTAACACTTATTTTCTACAAGTCTTCCTCTACAAACCTAATTATCATGTAATATGATTTTGTGAAAATGCGATATTTAATCTCATTTTCACAAAGTTGCACTTTCATTAAAGACTAACTTGATTTAGTTATCGAATGTTATACATTTTTTAACAATTATCAAGAAGCAAACAACACAAGAGTCTCTTTCAAGTAGGGTTTAGTTAGGATCGTCTTTAAAGAAGGTTAGTTCCTCAACTAGCTTTTAGTTCAAGTTGCTGCGGCTCAAATTGATTGTTTGATTGATCGACTGGCAATTGAGGACCTGTGTTCATGCAAATGATTATCTTTGCTTTTTAGTTGGACGCAGTGCAGCCCGAGACTGGAAAGCCGCGCGAAATGATAATAAATATCGATGGAAAGAGGAACGTGGCCGAGGGGTTGCGGTAGATGAGGAGGGGATGAGGGGGGAGGGGGCACATGGAAAACGATTGGTGCATTTTTCCCACCAACGCGATCTTGTCTTAAGCCAGCGCCTCCTCCCTCAATCGCCTCATCCGTCGTAAGTAGAGTGAAAGTGTTGCGTTTGCCTCAAATTGTGGACGTTGCCATTGTTGTTGTTGCTGTTGTTGATCTGCGTTGCTGTCAGTGTTGCAGTTTAGTTGTTGTTGTTGCTGTTGCTGTTGCCGTTGACTTGACTGCACTTTGGTTTATGTTATTGTTGCTGCTATTGCTCCGGCTCTGCCAGTTGCCGGCGGACACATATCCTTGTGTTCAATCAAACCAAAGCGACGTCAACGCCGCCACGGACTCTGCATCTTTGCAATGGAGTCAAGTGTTTTGTAGCTTGAAGGTTGTTTCGTCTACCTCCCACTACCAGACAACCGCCACCCGCCCCCCCCCCCTCACCCACTCCCTCCCGATCGACCCTCGTGGCGGTGTCCACCCCTCGTCACGCTGTGCAACATGCGGCAAACATTTTTAGCGCTTGTAGTTTTGTGCCATGCATTTTTATGCAAATGAAAAATGTTTCTTGCGATTTCCAATTTTTTTTCCTTTTTTTATTTACCAGCCGATTCGCAGCCTCTGAAGTTGTTGTTGCTGTTATTGTTGTTGTTGGCCATTACTGTGATGCAATTGCCGCGAGTTACAATAATCTTGATGTATGATTTTTTCGCTCCCTCGCTGTTATTGTTGCTGTGGCAGTTGTTGCCTTTAAGTTGTTGTTGTTTTTGTTGTTGTATTATTAGAAAAAGAAAATAAAAAGAAACCGATTCGCAAGACTTTAAAATAAAAGAGGAAATCTGCGCACCTATCGTGTTGTTGGCACATTTTCGCGATGTTTTGTTTGATCTCATAACCGCCAGCGATTCAGCCAGCAACAACAACAACAACAACAACTACAACAATAACAACAACAACAATGAATCAACAACAACGACGACTGCGGACACCATAAACATTTAAACGCTGTCCATTTCGAAATAATCAATAATTTTTAGCTATCAGTGGCAATTTATTATTTTTTTCTTTTTCATTTTCGCTATTTTTCTCCTCTGGGGGGCGCAATCAATAGAAAGAGAGAAGCAAATAAATTAACACTTCCTTAAACGATAAACACAAAATCACCAAAAAAAGAAGACAAAAAAAACTCGAAATCAACAAGTGAGCATCAAAACGCGGCATTACAATTGCAATTGATAATTGTTGGTGGGGAATCGTTTGATTTTCGTTTATTAATTTTAATTGCATTAGCCGACAAATGGCGAACCACGAATGGCAAACGGGGTGTTGCCAGAGACAACGCCTCGCAGGCATTTATCAGCTTTTGGATTAAGTGAACAAATTTTCACCAAAAACACAAACAAATCGTTTTAAGGCGAGGGGAAAGAGGTGGTGCAAACAGCTCTCAAAGCAATTGTCGCTCCTTCTGTGGGGAATGCTGCATTCAGTTTTAAGTACAGCGCTTTTTAATCAGCTTAAAGTTTTGATTACTGATCCGTGGAATGTAAGTTTGTAAATGTTCTTGCTTATACGGCTAGCTTAAGAAAAATTGTTTAGGAGACCAAGCCCAATAGCTGAGTAAAGAGGACTTTAAGTTCTTCTTATCGAGCTTTGTTACTATGCAGTAAAAAAACTCGCTAGTGATATTGTTAATAAGGACAAGTATTTCATGAATAATCCAAAGCTACAAATATGCCTAAATAGTTTTAAAGCGCTGTATACCTCGATTTCTGATCGGAGCTGAAAGCTATTTTGTTAAGTTTTAATATTATGTTATAGATTTATCTAAGTTTTGGACATTAATTATTGTTAGAAGCCATAATATGCAAGCTAAGCAAGAGTTCCTCTCTATCTCTCTCTCTCTCTCTTGAAACAGCGACCTGGCGTTTATTAGTGCGACGCTCACAGAGGCTTATTAAGTCACGTTTGCTAAGCACAATTATATGACTGTTTTGTACCAAATGTTTTTCAAATAAACTTTGATCAACGTTCTTCCCCACTTGCAAGTCAAATATTCCAAAATCCCGTGCTTGCTCTTAAGGTTTGTTCTGTGCTTTGATCGTCAAACAAACTCTTATATATAGATAGAAGTACATTAAGAAATCTTCAGTTGTTCAAAAATGTTTAGCTTTGTCTTGAGCCTGAGTTGACCCCCATCAATATGTTGCCGCCTACGCAATTCCATTGCCTGGCGAGCGCAAATGAGCATTAATATATATATTTCTTTTTGCATAAGCCTTCCTCCATTCCCGCCTCGGCGACAACGTCATGTAGAGCAGTCGACAGGCCGCGCAGTCGCATTCCCAGTTGCAGTTGCAGTCAAAAAAATGTCTAGCGGCAAACGACAATCACGATTTTGTGTCTGAAATATTTTTTGCGCGTTTTCAATTTCCACTTTTTGTTAAGGGGAAAAAGGCCACGCAGCAGCAGAGTCCCGCTAAGGAAAAGATACGCCTGTCCGAGCTATATGCATGCCACCAATTTTTATATATGCGCAATTTTTTTCTACTTGTTTTTTTGTTTTTGGTTAGTTTAGTTTTTTGTTGCAAGGCGACGCTAATTGTTTCCGTCGGTTAATAAAAATATTTCAGGCCAGTTACAAATTGAAAACAAGGCGACGGCGCAACTGCAACTGCAACTGCAACAGGGGCTGATGTAGGCTGCTGTTGGCTGCTGTTTATGCAACGCTTCAGTTTAGCACGACGGAGGCACAACAAAATGCAAATTGACATTTACGTGGTTGCAACACGAAAACCAACAGCAACAACAACAACAACAACAACAACAACAACAACAGCACAGCGGCCAACAAAAAAAATATAAACTCTTGGCGACACTTTTTGCCTGAAATCTCTTGCCAAGCGCCGCCGCCGCTGCCACCGGCTGTGTTAAAGGTCAATGAGTTTTGTGTAGCCGCGGGGCACTGGACCTGAACCTGGAACTGGCTGTCGATATTCGTTGCCAAGAAACAAAAAAAAAATAGCAAAAGAAAACCTCCTTTTTTTTATAATGTGCCTGTTGGCCTATTGTGCAATAGGGCCAAAAGTAAATGCGAGCAATTTCATAGAAATTTCAGTTTATATGAGCATTTATGCTTAGGTCTTGTATGTCGGCAGTAGATGCTGCCGATACTGTCCGTCTTGGCCAGGAATACTGATTGTGTGAAATTGTTAGCTGGCAATTTGTTGAGACAATGCCGAGAATAGACCAAAGTGATGCTTTCTTAGCGGGCGAGAACACTTTCCCAGTCGAAATGGCAAAGCTCTGGAGCGTAACCACTTATAAAAGCCAAAGCCAGCCAAACCCGTAGACAAACGGGTTGACCTCATTAAAGGCAGTCAGCAGAGGCAATCAGCGGGCTGTTAGAGCAAAAGTCATAGTCACAGTCGGGAAGCGGCTTTCGAGAACAACGAGAACAACGAACAACAATAAAATTACAATAATCGCTTCGGCAACGCTCGACGAGGAGGAGTTGGCACTGGCACTGACTTTGTCTCTTTGGTTCTGCCACTTTTGGGCTGTTCAGGCGAGCATGATGAACTTGCATTGGTCTCCAAAGACAATGATGTACGATAGGCGGCGGCAGCAGAGGCGACGGCGACGGTGACGGCGACGGTGAAGGCGATAGCGTTAATATGAACTCAAGAGCTGGCTGATGTGGACTCGATATTGGCGCACTTGGTTGCTCCGGTTACGCTTTGGCGAATTCTTTAACGATGGGTTTGTTAACCTCTTCTCGCACTTGGCCTGTCAGCGTGAAATTGACTCATGGCTAAATCAAACGAAGAAGAGGAAGGGAATCAGTTAACGGTGCGGCATTCTTAAATGAAATGCCATTATGTCTTATTTTTTTTTTTCGTGTGGGAAATGTTGCCTGCAACTGTTTTTGCAGCGATTTGTTTTGTTAATGTCTCAAATATTAAGTTGCGATTATCGGGCGATCAGCAATAGCAACAATAACAACAAACACTGTCATGGCCACATTTCACTTTCAACGGGGCAACATCTCAACGAGAAATCGTGATGAAATTGATTTGCGGCTCAGCTCTTAACGTTTGTCTTTTTATTCACAATCATAGTTACCGACAGCTGGAGGCAGCTACCAGCAACTCCCTCGTCCTCCCGTCGCAGTCTACCCCAAACTTCGGCAATAGCTGCATCATTTTCTTGCTTTCCAGCTATTTTGCATTTTCAACTAAATAACAACAACAACAACAGCAACATCAACAAATGATCATTTGTCTGTTTTGCCATTTTGATATTCCACTGTCAAATTGGCAAATGTCTGATGGGCCCCCTGCTCATAGCCCCCGCGCACACAGCCTGCGCCCCTTTGCATTTGCCACTTTAACACGAAATTGAATTTAATTTCGATACTTTATTTTCTCGTTTAGCTGTTGGTATTGTTGGTTTCTTTGTTTCTTTTATTTGGCATGTTTGTTGTCTAATTGAGCGAGAAATTGCCGTTGATTGATTGTTTTGCTTGCAATTTGTTATTGTTGTAGCTTTGCTGTCAAAGCCAACCATAATTGTCAATTATACTCCGTGGAAGCTACAACTAAACGTACGCATTTCACATATTTTTAAGCAATTTCTTGTTCTAATTCCACTTGAAAATGGCATTGCAACATATTTATGTTGCTAACGCATGGTTGCAACATGTTGCTAGTCAGCTGTTCTGTTGTCTGTCGCTAGGCATAATGCAATGCGTGCACTGCTTGCTTGCGGCACTGCTTGCATGCTTGTTTACGAATGGAATTGTCATGTTTATGGTAATTAAGAGCAAATGGGTTCTACGCCATTGCAAGCGTTAATTAACAACATGGAGGAGATTCCGCATACCGCTAGCGAACTTTGTGGCAGCTACGCCAGCTCCCTAACAACTTGCCTGTTTGTGCAACATATATTTCCTCAATTGAATTTTACCGCAGATCCACCGCCAACGGGCAGTGCCGTATTGGACGACCCCTTTGGGGCTGCCGAATCGAAACTTATTAATTTTCAAACGAGTTCGCTAGAGGCTGGAGTGCAGCAAGTGAAGCAAACGTAGCAGCCACAACGACCATCGACGCCGATCTCTGGCCGGCCATTTATCAATTCATGAGTTGGCCATCGATTTGGCTGGTAGCCGTGGTTCACGACAAGGTTCAAGCCAGTGTGAAATAGGCAAACGGACGACGATTGGCGAGGTTTTTAGGAAACTGGGGGGACTGGTTGGCAGTGTCGCATTAGGCGTGCAGGTGTCTATTTAATTGACAGCTAACGAGCCACAACGGACTGGCCAGCCGGTGCAGACCCATCAAAATGTGATTTACTATCCAACTAGGTGTCTTAAAAAGGTGCTTTGATCTTAAAAACATTTAATCAATTATCATATAGACGATTGCAATCGAAAGTTTGAATGCACTATTAATTCATTCTTCCATTCATTAATTGTAAATTCAGATTCTTGTTCGGACTCAGACTCAGTTTTCACGCTACTCAAAACAGAAACATCGCTACTCATACTTTGGCTACTTGTCAAGAATTTCATTTGACTGTGCTCTGAGCTCGACTCCATGTATGGTGCGCAGATCATGTGCATCAACCTTTCGCAATGGTTAACGGATCTTTTGATGTCGTCCAACTCGTAGCGCATGCTAAGATCATCGGAAAAATCATATATAGCCGGACGATCATAGTCTCCGTTCATCGAATCAAAAAGCATTAAGTTGGATATGCCGATGAAGCTTGGCGATGATCGTAGGAGCTGATTCTCTTTACGCAACTTTTTCATCCCAGTTTTTAATTGTGTGATTGCAAATCGATTGAGTTCGTGTCCCGACCATTGGTTGCATTGGCACTTGGGGGTCCCATTGATAGAATTACCTCGTTTTAAGTTTTTAGAAATGGATGATCGCTGTAATAGATTCTCTTTCTGCTCCATTAGCTGGGACTCCTCTTCAGCTTCAAATTGTTTGCTGGGAACTCCCGTCTGCTCCTGTTCCGACAATCGGTGGCCTAGAAGATCATCGGAGCACTCATATATATTCGGACTACCGTAGTCACCGTTCATCGAATTACCGTAGAAGCTTGGGGGTGATAGTAGGAGCTGCTTCCCTTCATGCAACACTTTCTTCCCAGTTACCAATTGTGTGCTGACAAATCGATTCAGTTCCTTTCCCGACCATTGGTTGCATTGGCACTTGTGACGAGCATTGGACATGGAGATAACCGCACTACTGAGTCTCTCATTGATAGAAGCAACTTGTATTACAGTTCTAGAATTGCAAGATCGTTGTAACATATTCTCTTTGTGCATTGTATCCTCCTCAATTTCCTTCTGCTCCATTAGCTGGAGCTCCTCTTCAGGTGCAAATGGTTTGCTGCGAATTCGCGTTGGCTCCTCTTCCGTTAATCGGTTGCCTAGGCACAGACGATCATTGGACACCTCATATGTATTCGGACTACCGTAGTCACTGTTTATCGAATTATTACGCATAAGATTGGAATTGGCGTTGAAGCTTGGGAGTATTCGTAGGAGCTGCTTCTCTTCATGCGACTCTTTCTTCCCAGTTTCCAATTGTGTGCTGACAAATCGATTCAGTTCCTGTCCCGACCATTGGTTGCATTGGCACTTGAGACGATCATTGGACATGGAGATAACCTCAATACTTGGTCTCTCATTGATAGCAACAACAGGTATTAAATTTCTAGAAATGGATGATTGTTGTAACGGATACTCTTTGTGCTCTTGCTCCGTTGGCTGGAGCTCCTTTTCAGCTACAAATTGGTTGCTGGGAAGTCGCGTTGGCTCCTGTTCCAACAATCGGTTGCCTGGGCACAGAGGATCATTGGAGAACTCATATGTATTCGGAGTACCGAAGTCACCGTTCATCTCTTTGTGCATTATTTCCTCCTCTTTCGCCATTTGCTCCATCGGCTGGAGCTCCTTTTCAACTTCAAATTGCTTGCCGGGAAGTCGCGTTGGCTCCTGTTCAAACAATCGGTTGCATGGGCACACGTTCAACGGCTTACTCAAACTCAATCCAGCGATTATGGATTTCAGGGGCTTTAGTATATTAGCTTTGCTACCCGTTTCTCGAACAGTTCCCATGACAGACATGGGCGAGGGAAAACGTTGACAATTGCCGCGCAGCTCTGGAATCTGCAACTCTGATTCCAGCTCGTGTTGTGCCAAGGACAATATCTCCCAAATGGAAACGCCCACCGCCTGTGGCCCACATTTCTCATTGTATTTGCGCTGTTCCTCGTACATGAGCCAGCGCAAGTGGTTGAGATTTTTCCAGCGCTTAAATTGCTTCATGCGCAGCTCCTGAGCTTCTTCCGCTTGCTGCACCAACAAATGGCGGGCCTGTAGCTCCTCCGGCGACAATTGCCGCACCTCGTCGGGCATCATATTTAGTCGCCGACACCAGAAGAGCAAGCGCTTGGTCTCCAGCTGCCGATCGCGACTCTCTGAACAATTCGCACTATTCTCTATTGCCTCACCGAACATTGTGGTACAGCAGCAGGGATATTTTTTTTTTTTTTTTTTTTGATTTTGATAATCAAAAAACGTACAACAAATTTATACATTAAAAAACCTAAACGCCATGATAACTAGACTTAAATTCTGGACTCACCCACAGAGCTGATGATGTAGGTGGCCGGCGGCTTCAGCACGCTGCGCGCAAAGGCGCCGCGCAGCACCTCCAAAGCGCACGGCTCAGCGGTGACCAGCAGCATTCCCGGCGCCACATGTCCGGCATATTTGAGCGCACGTGTCGCGGCTGTCAGTGGGGCATTCCACCAGCATTGCGCATTCGCGGCAAGAAAATTCTGGAAGAAAAAAAGCAGATATAGGTTAGAGATATGAAAAGCAAAGACAATCTAGGAAGAAGGTCGAAGGTCGTTAGAACGGGTTTATATTTAGAATGTGAACAGCTAAGAATGGGAAATATAGCTCTTAAGTTTCTGAAATTGAAGAACCAGCCACATGCTCCAATTCTTTCTTCATCCCAACCTGAAGGATCCGATGAAATTATTCTATGGGAACAAGAACAAAATTATATTGAACTATTAGCTAGCATTAAAGAGTCTTCTATGGCTTTCTGTCTGTGATTCGTAGCCTTGTAGTTTTGCAAATTATTTGGCTATTAGCTAAACGAAAAATAACAATTAATTTAAATTAAGCTCTTATCATACTAGTTACGATTGGTAAAAAGGAAAGCACAGAATATTTCAATAAATTTCTACTTTTTTAACAAACTTAAGCGCCAAGAATCAACATTCAATTGCAGTTCGATACAAGAGCTACTTATGTGGCAGCTGCACTAATTGACAAATTGCAGTGCGGCAAGTGGCATAATTGAGTTAAACCGCCTGCCGGTGCTGGCGGCCTGCTTAAGAGTTATTCATCTGTGGGCGTAGCGTATACCCCAAACCAGTTGGCAGCCGTCAATTAGCTAAGCGGATCGCAGCACGCCCCTGAACAAAAGACGGGCAACAACGATAACAACAACAACAACCTACCAGCCAGCAACTGCAACATAATTCGTTGAGGAGGCGCCACAAAGACGCTGCATCATTGCCTCAATTGTAGCTGTAGTTGCTGTTGTTGTTGTTGTTGTTGCGAATGAAATGCCAAATCCTCGACACGTTCTGGCCCATATAATTCCACAGAAATGGCAGCGTTGCATTTATTTCTTTTACTTCTTTTTGCAAAATTTTTCTGTCTATTCCCAACACTTTTCAAACTTTTATCCGCTGGCAACAAATAAATGTCCAATTTGTGCGGTGACAGGAACACTTGAGGCACGTTTCTGATGTAAACATGGCCAGGGATCGAGCAAAAAGTCACAGGCCTAGGACAGGCCAAATGGGAACACAGCGCCAAAGGTGGATAAACTGGGGGGGAGGCGGGCACGCCAGGAAATGCAGGTTTTAAGTGCAGTCAAAGGTTTACTTCAAGTTTCTCTTTGGTTTCTCTCAAAGATTACCATTCCGTTGCTTTTATAGCTTCACGCTAATGAACATCACCCAGTTTTATTTTTGTGGTCGCCCCGATTTGACCTTTTCGATGCCATTTCTCGAGGTGGTCACTCCTTGGCTTTAATGTCGCCAGTGCATCGAGTGTTATACAATGGCGATGCTGCCACGCCCCCTCTCTCAATGCACCTTCAGGCGCTCGACTAATGCATGAGCTGGCGCAAAAATTAACTCGTCATTGCCCGATGCAGTCGTCGTCAACGCAATCATCTGCCGCCCCTACTCCCATCCGTACACATAGATATACCCTAGCAGCATAGCAAAGGGGGCGTCTTTGGCTGTCACGCGCCGCCATCAGATGACAACGTCCAAGCTGCATTATCTATGCAATCATAACCCGAGACTGAGCCCCTGCCTCACTAATTTCTGCCGCATCATCATCAGCATCAGCATCAGCGGCAAAGCACGAGACTTGAAGGCGGAGCACTACATTGGAGCTGATGGCATACCAAAATGTTTATGTCTTTGTCGTGTTTCATTTTCGTTTCAAATTTCAGTTTTGGTTTTTCGGTGTTCGGAAGTAATGCAAAACTTTTAATAATCGAATTAAAAGTGCACGCCGCTGGCGTCTTGTATGAAAGTCTTTAAGCTTCAACTCTTAAGTGACTTTGGCGTTTTCTCATCGCGTATCGCCTGCTGCTGCTGCTGCTGCTGTTTGATGGCGCTTTCATTGGACTTTTACTTAATGCCAAGCAATGGAAAACTATACAACTAAAACTCCCACCAATCACACGACACAAAACTAAAAAAAAAATCAGTAAAAATTTTAAGTCCGCGACGTGCGGTGGCTTTATAAAGACAAAACTATCACCAGCCTCGAGTTGAGATGAGTTTACTTGAGTCGAGCTGACTGGCAGCAGGGGTTGGGAGTGCGGGTGGCTGTGGCTGTGGGGCAGCTCGTGTGGCTTAATGCAGCTGAATCTTTCACTGTGTACATGCCGCTGTTAAAGATAATGACAATCTGCAAACAAATGTGCAGGCGGCACATCTCGGGCCTCTGAGATCCGGGGACGCGCTTAATAGAGTTATGATGAAGTATAATAATCCTTGACCTTACCGCTAACAACAATCAACTAGCAGCAGCCACTTAAAAAACAAAGGGAAAAAAAAACAATCAAATATAAAAGTCGCAAAACTCTTTTATTTTTTTTGTTTTTTTCTTGTAGTCAAATCGAGGGTCTATTCATTTGATAAAAAATGCGCCTTTTACAATTTGATTGTATTCCAAATGATTAGAGTGAAAGAGGATTATTTGAAAGAGTTGTGCAAAGCAAATTATAACAAACTAATTGAATTCAAGCACTCTTAAGAATACCAAATAGGAAAAATATAAATACAGCTCAAAGCATCGTTGACTTTCAGGCAATAGTTTTTCCCCAAGTTATGCATTAATATAATATAGCATTCTGTTAATTATTATATGCGACAGACAAAAATTGAACGTCAACTTTCAGATGACTATGTTGCGTATATTTTTGCAAAGTTTACTTAAAAATAATTAGAATAATTTGAGCTCTTAAACCTGAATCGTAGTTGAATTGCAGTTTAAGTTAATTATTTCTCTAGCTGGAATTTATAAAATGTTGTGCTTGTTGATTTGGCAAATGTTGAAGGAATTTATTAGCTTTTTTTGTAAAGTAGCCAGTGCTCGTTAGATCTAGTTTTTCTATAGAGAACTACTTAAACAATTTGAAAATGCCAATCAAAATATTTGCGACCTAACTCGTTAACCACAATCTTTTACTTGTAGTAAGTGCGTGGAATTTGTTAAATAATTAATTTGTAGCTGTATCTAAATAACTGTACCTGCTACAGGCAACACTTTCTAAATTCATTGATCATTATTATATTAAGCAACATCAAGATCAACCCAGCAGTTTGTAAGCAACAATAACATAAATGAATGTCCATGTATATTTAAACAAATATTTGCTAAAAAATAATTTGCTTCAATTTAAGCAAACATCATTAGGTTAATCTATGTAAGTATAACAAAGACAATTATTTAAATGACTAATGAGTTTTTTGTAAATTTCTCACTCATTCTTATTGCCCTGCCCAGCAATAATTCTCACAATTAGAGAACGCGCCCAACCCCGAGTAATCCGATTTCAGTACTGACTTCTATCTGAGTGCTTCATCTTTGTTTATTTGTCTGGTCATTTCAGGCCGTGGTCAATGGTTGGCGTTGTGCTTGGGTCGGAGTTCTGTTTAGTCCATAAAACTAAGCGCTTGTCGGAAGCGGCGGCTTGCATAAATATGCGAGCACAATTCCAATCAATGCGGCAACTGATAAGCGTGCAAATTGCATAGTCCAGCGTGGGGGCAACGCCCACTTCAGAATGAAACAACCCTTGGCTAGGATAGGAAAGGACGTGGGGTGACGTGGGTACGAAGGCGGTGGCGTCTTTACAGCGTCTCAGCAATTTGCACTGCACTTAAACTGCCAACTCGATTTGGTCAGTCGGGCGTAGCCCCGGGAATGCCTTAGGCATTGACTGTGGTCGTTCGGGTTCCATCATCCAGGGGGTTGGTACTGGGCGGGTGCTGTGGAGTTCATTGACCAGAGAAATCTACAAAACACACTCTTGCCAGCCTGCACATGCGATTTGTTTTATTAGTTTTTGCCCAAAGCAAAAGCAATGTTTGTATTGCCAAAACAAATTGCAATGGCAGCTGCTGCCAAAGCTCCTTGCCAGGGGACAGGAAAAAACACACAAAAAGTATATCTAGAGGAACAACGTGGATTTGGCAACCCTTTAGTCCCAGCGCCCAGCAATTAATAACAAATATCAACTCGACTCTAGTCAACTAAGCCCAACTCAAGTCAATGCAATTCGATGCCAATTGGTTTCAACTCTTTAAGCTGCAAACTTTTTGCTGCCCTACCCTTTGGCAAAACCTACTTGTCTAACTGCTGCGCTGTCAGTTGTTTGGAAAACTTTTTCGAATTGCAAAACTTCAGGTAAATAAATCGAGCAGCTCAATAAAAATAAAAAAATAAAAAACAAAGTAAAAATATCAGCTGCTAAAAATCAGCGCCTCAATTTAAAACCAAAGCGTGAAAAGTCTATTAGGTTGACGCCGGCGACGCGACGTTCGAAAAACTGTGGGAACAATGAAGTCTGTTTCAGTCAGCTCCAATTCCAGCCAGCCGCCTTAACCCCCCGCCCCGCTAGGAAACCCTTGCCCCATAAATTGCTGGAGCTGCCACCGCATTGCACCTGCCGGTTGTGTTCTGGGGCTACTTTTGAATTTGATTTGATGTCGTTGTCGTGTTGCCTTCTAGTGTTATACCCTATAAACATAAATGAATATGAGAAACTTGCCTAAATAAATGTAATAATGCATATTATATTATATTTAAGAAAGCAAAAATAAAATAATAATTCTGGTTCGTATTAAGCTGATGTTCTGCAATTTTGTATACAACTTATCCCCTTTAAAGTTCAGTACAAAGTAAATAAAATATTGGAATAAACTAATGAATCGATCTTTTGCGAAAGTAATCGCATTATCATGAAGATCAATAAAACGATATGCTCTATCTAACCGCAAATATTATGTTAATTGTTTATTATACAATACAGAAATGTTAATTAAAAATTGTCATTTGAGCAGGCAGTGATAGGTGTCAGTCGGCGGCATGCGGAGGTTAATATTTATAATAGTTTTGCGTTATTTAATACAAGGTATCTCCTAGTAGGGCAGTCTCAACTAGTGTATTCTTGTTTGTAATTGTTGTTGTTGTTGTTGTAGCCTTTTGTATTTTGGCGTTGATGCGCAGCTGG